AAATTTTTTTTTTTTTTTAAAAAAATTTAAAAAAAAAAAAGGGAAAAAAAAAAAAAAAAAAAAAATTTAAACAAACAAATTCTTTTAATTTTTTTTTTTTTAAAAGGAAAAAAAAATTTTTTTTTTTTTGGTCAAAATTTTAACCAAAATTCCAATCCAATCCAATTTTTTTTTTTTTTTTTTTTTTTTTTTTTTTTTTTTGAAATTAATTCCCCCCGATGGGATAAAAATAACCCCAACCATAAAAATTTTAAAAATGATAAAAATGATAAAAATGATAAAAATGATAAAAATGGTAAAAATTTAAATTTAAATTTAAATAAAAAAAAACAAATGGTTTTATACAAACAATAACGGATAATAAAACAATAATAAATAAACCATAGTAAAGGGTTTTTTTTTTTTTCCTTTTTTTTTTTTTTTTTTCTTTTTTTTTTTTTTTTAATTGTATTAAAATCAATATAATTTTTTTAAAAAAAATAATATTTTTTTATTTTTTCGTTATAAATATTTATTTTTAATTTTTAATTATTTTTTTTATTTTTTTATTTTTTTATATTCCTTTTAAAAAAACAAAAAAGAAAAAAAAAAAAAAGAAACAAATTTAAATTTTTTATTATTTGTTTTATATCTATTTTTTGTATTCTTTTTTTTTTTCCACATAAATTTTTTTTATAAAAACCATTTTTTTTTTTTCAACCAAAATTTATAAATCTTTGAAGAAGTTAGTATGAGTAGTAATACTGGATTCTTTGCAGCAATGTTAGGTAGTGGTATCAATAGTAGTAATAGTGGTAGTACCACTAGTACTGGAAGCAGTGGCAGTGGAAGTAGTAATAGAAGCTCTTTAAATAAAAATTCATCAAACCCATCCTCTTTATTTTCATCTTCGGATGGTAAGTTTATAGATAATTCAAAATTAAATCAAATATTTCATAATATTCTAACATTTTATATTTACTCTATATATAATAGATTTAAGAGCAAAGTATGAATCATTGAAAAGAAAATATTCAACTTTATCAAATGATTTAAATCAAGCCAATTCACAAATAGAGCATATTAAAAGAGATAATAAGAAATTAACAAAAGAGAAGAGGTAATTATTGATTCAAATGTATGATAATAAAAAATAAATACACAAAAACTAATTTATTTTATATTAGATTCCTTTTAGATAGATTATTAAAACTCGAAGATATTTCATCAGATTCCGAGATTGATTCCGAAGATGAAAAGAACTATAGATTTAAACAACCATACAATAATAGTAATGGTAATAGTAATAATAATAATAGTAATAGTATGAATGGGAGACCAATAACACCAAATGGTTTGAACAATAGTAGCAGTAATATAAATAATAACTATAGTAAAGAAAAAAGTAGAAGTGACAAGTCTAAAAGTAGTAGTAGCAGTAATAATAAATCTGGATCATTAATATCATCACTTTTACCACATAATAACCAACAACTACCCCAACAACAAGCCTCACCACCATTACCAATGATACCAGAAGAAGGTATGTGCATTGGTTCATCAAAAGATAGACTTTGTAAAAGTAAAGCTTTACCAAAATCCAAATATTGCTGGCATCATAGTCCATTAGATCCAAACAGTGGCAATGGTAAATATTTAACTTTGAATTCATTATATTATTTTTTAACATTTTCTAACACTCTTTTAATTTTATTTTATAGTGTATTGTCAATATACCAATGCAAAGAATAAAAAATGTGTTATGCCAGTTCAAAAATCTAAAGGAGTTCTTTTTTGTACTCACCATACTTCAAAACTAAACAATCCAATTCCTGTAAATATTCAACAAACATCGACAACACCTCAACAAAATATACCACAGTTACCACAAGCACAAAATAATAATAATAATAATACAGTAGAAAAAAAAGAAATTAATTTAAATAATCAAAATAATCAAAAAGAACAAAATACTGAAAATGTTACAATTGAAGAAATAAAGCAAAAACAAGAAGATAAAAAACCTGAAGATTTGTACAGCTCTCCATAAATATATAAATAAAGAAAAAAAAAAAACAGATATTATTGGTTCGAAAGGATTAAATTTATTTATTTATTTATTTATTTACAAAAAAAAAGAGTTTTTTACTTTTATATATTAATTATATGTTTATAATTGCCCACATTCGGTTATAACTATATCGTATTTTGGCTTTTGGGTTTGAGGATTAACCGGTACATCTTCTATTGAACGAATAATTTTCATGCCATTTTCAATGACACGTCCAAAAACTACATTTTTACCATCTAACCAATCTGCTGGTACACATGTTATAAAAAATTGACAACCATTTGAATTTGGCCCACTATTTACCATTGATAACATACCTGGTAGCGCATGTTTAAGTTGAAAATTTTCATCTTCGAATCTTTCACCATAAATTGATGTTCTACCTGACCCATCATTCTATAAAAATTATTAATAATCAATATTAGTATTATTATTATTATCATTTAAATTATATAATTAAACATGTTTGTATTTACCTTTAAAAAATCACCACCTTGTATCATGAAATCTTTCGAAATTTTATGAAAAGGTACAATTTTTATAACCCACTGGTTGACCTGATACTCTGTGTTCCCCTGTACAAAATTGTCTAAAATTTTCAGCAGTTCTTGGTACGATATCTGCAAATAATTCCATTTTAATTCTGCCCAATGGTATTGGTGTTTTGTTGTTCATCATTGCTACATCAAAAAATACAATTGGATTTTCGCTATCTAATAAATTACTCATCTTTTATTATATATATTTATATTATGATTTATATTATGATTTATATTATGATTTATGTTATGATTTTTATTATGATCTGTATTAAAATTTATCTTTTATAGATTTTAATTAATTGATGAATGTTGATTAAAAATGAAAAATTAAAAAAAATGAAAAATTTTAAAAAAAAAAAAAAAAAAAATTTAAAATTAAAATTTAAAATAAAAAAAAAAAATATTTAAAAAAAAATAATTAAAAAAGGATTCAATCATAGGAAATGTTAAAATCAATCAACAAACATATGACGGTAAAGTTTTAGATAATGCAAAGAAAATATCAGAGTATTCAATCATAAATGGTGATATGATTTTATTGGCAAAGAATATTTTTACACAACCTAAACAACAACACAAACAACATGATAGGTTCGTACCCTTCAAATGAAATATTTGCTTCCTCAGATTCAATGATTGATTATTACAAAAAAAAACCAGAAGGATTGGGCCAAAAACCAATGTAGAATGCAAGAGTTGGCAATCAAAAATCTATTTGGTGAAGAGTATCAAAATTACTTTATGAACAAATTCAAAAGCAAAATATTGAAGAAAATATGGCCCGTGATATGGAACATAGCACTGAAGTATTTGCTTCTTTCTATATGTTGTGCATTAAACGCTCAATTAATAACTTTCAAATTAAATAAAAAAATAAAAAAATAATAAAAAAAAAAATTAAAAAAAATGATTTTCGAAATTTCTTGATGGTATTAAAAGTTGAACAATAAATATAATTTTATTAAATGTATAGTTTATATATTTTTATTTTCATTTTCATTTTCATTATTATTTTTATTTTTATTTTTATTTTTATTTTTTTATAAAATGATTAAAGTTTTTTTTATTTTTTTTTTTATTTTTTATAAAACTGATTAAAATGAAAGTTTTTTCTCGTGATTATTATTTTTAAAATATCCTTACAACCAAATTATTTTATTTATTTTTATTTTTTTTTCCTTTTGATTATTTTCATTATGATAATAATATTTTAAAAATAACATAACAAATTGTGTGCTTTTAAAAAAAAAATTTTTTTGTCTGCGATATATAAAAATTTGGGTTTGTTTTATTATAAAATTTTTTTTTTATTTAATTTTTTTTTTTTATTTTTTTTTTATTTTTTTTTTTTTAAATTATTTTTTTAAAATAATTATTAAAAATTAAAAAAAAAAAAAATAAAATAAAAAAAAGTTTTATAATAATATCTAAGTCTTTTATTGCTGAAGAACACACCAACAAATATTATTATTCAAAAAACTATAAATAAAAAGAATAAAGTTTCTTAATAATATTAATTTTAAAAAAAGAAATCAAAAAAAAAAAAAAATTAAATTAAATTTTTAACAAACTCAATCCTCCTGTATTATATTATTATAAATCAAATCAAGAATGTCTGGAAATACAAAAAAACAACAAAACCCAGTAATTGAAATTACTTTAAAAACAATAAATGTAAGGTGTTAAAAGTTATATTTTAAAAAAAAAGAAAAAAAGAAAGAACCTATCACAGGTTTATGATTGATCAATATAGTTTATAATATTCACAATTACTAATACTTTAATTTTATATTTATTTAAATAATATTTGGATAATCATATATAATGAAAATTTTTATACAAGTAGAATTTAAAAGTTAATTCACCACCATTATTCTCAGAAGTTATAAAGGCAGCAAATAAATATCAACAACAATCCCAAATGTTAAGTCAAACAGGTCTTGTTTTAGCTGATACCATTCAAAGATTAACAATTCATAATAGTGGAGATTTTGGTGAAGGTTTTAAAAAACTAGCTGATGCTGTTAGAGATTTAGAAAATAAAAGAGATGAAGTTTGTAAAGTTTTATTAAATGAATTTATCACACCAAATAAACAAGCTGTAGAAAATGATCAAAAAGATATTGTTGTAAGTAAATCAATTTAAATATTTTCATTAAAAAGAAATATAAACTAAACTTTTTTTTTTTCTTTATTATTTTTATTTTTTAGACATTCGAAAAAAATTATAAAAAAGATAGAGATAGTATGAGACAAGAAATTCTTAAATTAGAAGCTAAAACTAGAAAAGCTGGTAAAAAGACAACCCCAGAAGTTCTTAAACAGGTAATTTTTTTTTACATTCATTTATACAAATAGAAAATAATATATTAATTTCAAAACAATTTTTTAATTTTTAGCAAATTACTGAGTTAAATGACAAAATCAAAGAATCAGAACAATTAAATGCAAACAAACTTAGAGATGTAGTATTAATGGAGAGAAAAAAACATGCCACCTTTTTATCACAATTTAATCAGTTTTTAGAAAAAGAAATTGAATTAGCAACTGAATCAATTGCTAAATATTCAACTGCACTTAATACACACAGAGAATTGATTAATACTCAATCACAGGTAGTTATCAAACTATAGCTCAATATTAAACTAATTATATCATAATACTAATATTTCATTTTCTTAATTTAATAGTTACCAAGCGAAACAGAGTCAATGATTAGTAAACAAGAAAGAACTTTAGTACAAATTCAACCACAACAAGGCGATAGTAGTAATGGTGATTACCGTATTTCTTATGCACCAGGCACAGTTCAAGCTGATAGTACATACGAATCATATGATTCATATGACAACTATGATAACTATGACAATTACGATCAATCATATACTGATAGTGGTTATGATCAACAACAACAATATGGTGATCAGCAACAATATGGTGGTACAGAATTACAAGCTAGAGCACTTTATGATTATGATAGTCACGAACCAACTGATCTTTGTTTAAGAGCTGGCGAAATATTATCTATTCTTCAACAAGATGATGGTAGTGGTTGGAGTAAAGGTAGAAATTCAAATGGAATGGAAGGTAAGTTAAATTATAAAAACACTTTTTTAATTTTTTCTTTTTAAAAAATAAATATTAATTATTTCTTCTTTTATATCAGGTATTTTCCCATCATCATATATTGAATATGTTTAATCTTTTAAAGAAAAAATAACATTATAATATACATTGAAAAATTTTAAGTAAAATAATAATAATAATAAACAATAATCACAGATTGTAATAATTTTTGTGTTTTTGACAAATAAAAAAAAATATTCCATGGCTTTTAAATTGTATAAAAAAAAAAGAAAATTTACCAGTTTTTAAGTTTTTTAGATTTTTATTTTTATTTTTTGAATTTATATTTTATTTAAGCATAGATTCTAGTATACATTTTTGCTAAACTATCATGACCTTTAGTGTCACCTCCTCTTAATAAATTACCAGCGTCACAATTTAAGGGACTATCAGGTTCTGGTGCTGCTAATAATGCTATAATAGATCTACAAACTGATTCAAGTGTATAAATTGCTGACCATGATGTTTTTAATAAATCTAAACAAATTTCTCCTGTCTATATAATATTTTATTATTGTTAATATTAAATTGAATAGTTATTGAAAAACTAATTTTACATTATAACTTACCTTAAAATGAATATTTGGATGGAATATTTTTGTAACAAATTTAAAAACTGGTGGTGCTAAAGGATAATTACTTGGTACCGTGATTTCGATGGTAAATTTACCGCCTTCATATGGAGTATCTGGTGGACCTTTGATATATGCAACCCATCTAAGTAAATCTGATTCATCTATTGGATGTAATAAAATATCGTCTAATGCTTGGTTTTGTAAAACTTTATATTCTTTCATTAATCTTGAAGCCTTAAAAAATAAAAATTTGATGAAAATAAATATTTAATCGTTTTATACAATCATATTTAATAATAATAAAGGTTATATGTTTAGTATTATGTATTATATAACTTACCATTTTTTTTTTTATATGTATAGTTAATGATTATTTATTTCTATAAAACAAAAAAATAAAAAATAAAAAATAAAAAAAAAAACAGCAATAACCTAAATTGAAATAAATTTTCTTAAAATTATTATTATCTTTCAAAGAATTAATGTTATTATCTGGTTGAAATTAATTTATTTAATTTAATTTAATATTAATATGGTAAATATTAGTAATATTATTAAAAAAATAAAAAATATTAAAAAAACAAAAAAAAATTTTTTATTTTTTTTTTATTTTTAAATAATTTAAATTCTAATTTTTTTTTTTTTTTAAATAAATAATTCTATTAGCACAAGACGTTATCATTTTGTTTTTAAATATATATTAAATATTTATTTATTTTAATTAAAATATCTCACCTTTTTTTTTTTATTGTGGTTATTTTAATCTTTTACATATAAACAACATACAATAAGAATTTTAAATTATTTTTATATATATAATAATTATAATTAACAATTAATATAAAAGCAAATTATAAAAACTTTAAATAATAATAATAGTTATTTTTTATTTATAATAGTTTTTTTAAAAAAAAAAAAACAAATAAAATAAATCATATTTTATAAATCAACAAATGAATTATATAGACTATTATGATAATAAAAAAATAGATAATGATGGAAATAACAATGACAATAATCAAAATAATAATATAGAAAATATAATAGGGATCAATATAAATAATAATATAAATCATAGTCATAATCAATGTAATAAAAAGTTATATACAGATATTTATATAGACAGTAATAATCAAAATAATAAAATGTTAATCAATATATCAACAGGTACCAACAATAGTAATACAACTAGCAATAATAGCAGTAATAATAAAAATTTTAAAAAAACATTCATAACAAAATTTGGGTTTCGATCAATTGTTATATTTTTAATATTTGTACCATATATTTATATTTTAAACTATGCAATTTTCCCATGGATCGAAAGCAACCCTATAAAGGGCAAAGTACATAGTATATTATCAATGATTTTAGCAATACAGGTTCTATTAAATTATTATTTAACATCAACTATAGACCCTGGTTCATTTAAAGATACAACTTCACCATCCTATTATCTTGCAAATCCTGTATCTCAAGACTATGAGGAAAAGTTTTGTAGTAAATGTAATGAACAAAAACCAGAAAGGGCCCACCATTGTAGATATTGCAATAGATGTGTTTTACGATTAGATCATCATTGTCAATGGATAAATAATTGTGTTGGTAAATATCTTTATACATTTATATATTTGATAATTTTTTGCTAATTTATTTTATTTACTTGATCATCATCATAGGTCTTTTCAATCAAAAATATTTTGTATTGTTTTTATTTTATACATCAATTGCTATTATATATTTTTTCATTTTATTAATTAATAGAACCATAGAGTTAATTTCAAAACATTCAATGGTATAGTATTGAAAATATTATTTTATTAAAATATACAATGATTATTAATTCATTATTTTTTATAGGAACAAACATTACCAGAATTTGATTTGTTACATTTATTATTGTTAGGGTTTTTAATTATTGTTTTAATTATTGCAGCAATTTCAATATTGGCATTATTATCAACTCAAATTTATTTAATCTCTAAAAACTTAACAACAATCGAGCAAGAAGATAGAAAGAGAAAACATTTACAACCAAACTCTTCAAATTTATATAAAAAATATGACAAAGGTTCAATTATATCAAATTTCACAGTGGTCTTTGGTAATCCATCATTGTATTGGCTTTTACCAACACCACCCAATCTTTTATATAAAGGAAATAATAAAAAGGGTGATATATTTATAGTGTAACAATAAAATAATATTAATAAACAATAATTAAAAAATTTAATAGTTATTTTAATTATTTTTATAAAAATTATAAAACTTTTTTTTTTTATTATTATTATTTTTATTTTTATTTTTATTTAGTTTTTTTTTTTTTTTTTTTTTTTTTTTTTAAAATAAATAATAAACAAGTGTTATAATATTTAAACTTCATCTTCATCTGATAAATTTGAACCTAATGATTTGATAGCTCTAAATTCATTGTAATGGGCTTTTCTAAGACTATCAAATTTCTTTCTGTTTTCTTTCTTTTCTTCATCTTCTTTTTCATCCTCTTCTTCTTCATAATCATTGCTGCTACCACCACCACCAAAACCTACTTTTTCTTTCTTATTGATTTTTTTATTATTGGTTTTCTTTTTTCTTTTAATGTTTAGTTCTTCTTCATTATCTTCATCATCAGAGTCCCATTCACTCTTTTCTTGTTGTTTATCTAAAGCATTCTTTAATTCTAAAAATTTATTTTCTAAATATTTTTTACTTTCATCTGATAGTTATAGTGAGGTTAGTAATACTATTTGAAATAAAGTATAATACGTTAATGTAATAATATTTACCTGATTCTTCTTCAGATTCGTAATAATGATATGGAGTTTTGGGCTCATCAATTTTCATTGTTGCAGATTTATTCATATCATTGAAATTTAAATTTTCTTCATCCCATGCAATTCTATTTTTCTTTGGTGGTGGCTTTTCATTTTTATTCTTTAAAATACCTTTTGTTGGAGTATTCTCTTGAAGTGTTTTATATGGTATGATTTTAAATTCTTTTGAGGATGACGGTGACAAACTTTTTGAAAGATTTCTTTTCTTTTTTGAATAATAATTGAATTTTTGTTTTTCATCTTCGCTGCTACTGCTATCATCTTCACCATCTATTTTATACATATCCTCATCCAATTCATCATTACTATCATCTTCACCATCGACTTTGTAAATGTCATAATCTAAATCTTGATCTATATCATTTTCGATTTTATCATCTTCTTCATAGTGATGCTCTTCACTATCTATAAACTCTTCATCTTTGTTCATTTTATTGCTACTATAATGGTTTTGTTATTGTTTTATTTACAAATTTTTTATTTTATTATTTTATGTACAATTTATTTAATTTTGGTTTATTATTATATATTAAAATTATAATTTACTAATTTTATAGATTTTAACTTTTTTTATTTAATAAAAAAAATTAATAATAATAATAGAAAAAATTTTAAAAAAAAATTAAAAAAAAATAATTTAAAAATTAAAAAAAAAATAGATTTTTTTTTTTTAATATACAAAACCTTTTTTTTTTTTTTATATTAAAAAGATAATTTAATTTTGTTGTGAATAAAAAGAAAAGATATTTTTTTTTTTTTTTTTATATATATAAATAATTTAAGAATTTATTTTTTTTTTGAAATTTTTTTTTTTTTTAAAGTTTTTTTTTAAGACAAAATTAATTGAATTTTTCTTCAACTACAGTCTTACTTTCTTCTTTTACCTTGGTAAAATTTTTAGCTGGTGAACCTATCTGTGTATTGGAAGTATTACCTTCATAAACATATTCATGAACAATTTGTGGTGAAACAACATTGTTAGCCGGTTGAGTTAACTCAACTTGTTCAACTACAGTTGGAATAATAGTTTCTTTTTCTAAGGAAGCTGATGGAGCATCTTGGGTAGTACTTGAAATGTAAGTTTGTTGTGGAGAAATATTTTTTGTAAAAACTGGATTTGATGATGATGAACCTTCATTTAAACTTGGTGAGAGAATAGTGGCTGGAATTTGATAAGTTGTGGTGGTTAAACTTTCTTGTTGGGTGTCATTGTCATTGTTGAGATTATTTTTGGAATCGTCTTCATCATAGACAATTGAACCATGTGGTATTGGAACAGAGTGGTCTTTTGGAATATAATCTGAATGGTATTTTGTATAAGTTTTTGGTAACTAAATTTAAATAATATTTAGAATTATAAAATAATAAATATAAAATTAGTTTTAAAATTTGTATTTTTATAAATAATAAATTTAAATTACATACAGCAATATCAAGAATACCAAATCTTGAATATAATTTTTCTTGTACTGGGATAAGGTCAATTTCTTGTTTTAATGAATGGATATCAGAGTAACCTTCGTTGAAGAAATCTTTGAAGATCAAATAACAATTGTCTTGAATTATGGAGATTATCTTCACTCTTGTATTCTAAGCTTCTAACATCATGTTGGTATTTACGATAACTTTCATCATAAACAATGTTGGCTTTTTCGGCAGATGCTTCTTTCTATTGAAAAAAAAAAAAAAAAAAAAAAAAAAAAAAAAAAAAAAAATTAATATTTTTAATTAAAAAAAATATTTTTTTTAACAACTTACTCTCTTTAAACGAGTTGGATTGGTTTTTGATTTTTGTCTATATTTGTCTAATCTATGATTTGCGTGGTCAGCACGAACTCTGTTATCTTCCATTCTATGGTTTTGTTTTTTTAATTTGTCAACAGAACAATGTGAAATATTTTCAGCATTATCATGGATACCAATTTTGGTAGTCTTAATGATTGGGAACATTAAATTTTGAAGACCATGGAAACCTTCTGCAATGTGGCAAGTAGTATTCTTATCAATGTATTGAGCAGTACCAAAGCTTGCAATGGTATTTGCAAGAACCTCCCATTTAGTTTGCATATCTTGAACAGCATCCATCCATTTTTCAGAGTGTTCAGCAAGTAAAGTGTAATCGGATCTAATTACTTTTGCTTCGGCCTTTAATGACTTTGGTCTTTTACCATGTTCTACAGAGGTAGTGTTATTATGGTGAACATGTTCTTTGGTTTTCATAAATCTAGTTTTAACAGTTTCCATTTTTGATATTTTATTGAGAAAAAAATAATTTTAGTAATATTTATTATTTTATTTTGTAATTTTATAAAGTTAATTATATAAACTATAAATTATAAAGTTATTAAAAATAATATTATTTTAACTTTATAGAGAAAAAGATATTATTTATAAGCTTTATTTGAATTATAAAAATGTTTTAATAAAAATGAAGTGAAACCAAAAAAAAAACTATTTATAATTCATTCTATGAGATCTATAATTTTTTTTTCTTTTTTTCTTTAAATTAAAAAAAATCAATATCAATAAAATTATCTTGTTGATCTATAAAAAGAAATAATGTTTTTACAAAATCTTATTATTCCTTTTTAATAAATAAAAAAAAATAAATAAAAAAATAGAATTACAATTAATTTATTTTATTTTTAAATTTTATAATTAATAATAATTTATAATTTTTACAATTTTAATTTTTTATTTTTTACAATTTAAATTTTTTTATTTTTTACAATTTTGTAGAAATTAAATTTAAAAAAAATTAAAAAAATTAAAAAATAAAAAAAAAATAAAAAAATAGAATTTATAAAACTATTAATAAACAAAATAAAATATAAAATAATAAACTACAAAAAAAAAAAAAAAATTAAAAATAAAATTAAATTAACTTTTAATTTAATAAATACTTTTTATTTTATTTTTTTTATAATAAATTATGTTTGTGTTTAATAAATTTTAATTCCTCCTCTAACTCCTTTCTTTGAGCTTGTTCTTGAGCCAACTCTTTCTTTAAAACTGAACTTTGTTTTACAAATTTAATTGCTAAATTTTGAATTGCTTCAAGTAATTCCTCTTTAGATTGAAAGTGTGTGAATGAATCTCTAATTTTTTTAGCAATTGCCTCATCCTCATCTTGTTGTATTTGTGGTTGTGTTGGTTGGATTTTTTCTTTTGGGTCCTCTTGTTTAGTTGGTGTTGTTATTGGTGAACTACCATTATTATTATTATTGTTTTTATTAATATGGTTATTAATAGAGCTGTTAAATGTTGGTTGTGATACTTGATTAATGTTATTATTAATATTATTATTTGTAACTGTTGCGACCCCTGTTACTGGTTGATTTTCAATTTCTTTTATATAGTTTTGTGAAACTAAACCTATATGGGCACCAAGACGACCTCTCCAAAATTCTCCTTCTTTTGCCTCCAATACTATTATATCACCTTTTTTAAAAGAAAGATATGTTGCAAATTGACTGTTATAGTTCCCAATTGCTATTCCCTTCTTGATTTCACTTCTCATAAAGGAAGTATTACCTGGACTATTGAAAAAAGTATTTGGGGTTTGGGTAACTGGTTGTTGTAATGGTAAAGAGTCATGACTTGTTGGTGTTGAGTCTAATGTTTGTGGGTGATGTTGTACAGAATTGGTTGGAGGTGGTGTAACTCCATTATGGATAGAGTTGGGATGTGTTGGTGGTAAAGCTGATGTTGGTGTTGTTGTATTATTTACAGTTTTATTTGATAAAATTGATTCTGGTGATGGTGATATATCTTTAATAATTTCGACACATCTTTTTGGAAAAACTCCATATATATTTTTAAAACGACCTACCCACCATTCAGATTCGACACTCTTTGGATTGTACACGACAACTAAATCACCGGTAGCAAAATCCAATTCATCAAATGACTGCTTGGTATGTGGTTCAATTGCACGAGAAATATAATATGGAACCTGTGTATTTACATCCTCTACTGCAATTCTACCACTTTGTTGAAGAGGGGTACGAGATTTAATTTTTTGTGGCCCAGATGGTATAGCCTCTTTATAAGGGTTAACATTTACTGTGGCACTTGAATATTTCTTTGGTGTATTTGTGTCGCCGTCACAATTTTTTTCTTTTGATTCATCATCATTTGAACTATCTATCATTTTAGAGGGGCCAGAATTCTTTCTAGAGTGTTTAGCCAAGGGTGTAGAATTTTCAATATCGCTTTTACTAATATTAAAACGTGGAGAGTGATTGGCAGGTGACTCGATAGATGGGGAACTGATTGGTGAGATGGTTGCTAACAGTGTGACTGCTGGTGGATCACTAAATGAAACACTACCATTTGGCTTGTTGCCATTATTAGTAGCTGTAGTATTTCTTAATGTATTATTTGCACTACTGTTTGTTGAACTACTACTACTATTGCTGCCACTACTGATATTAACTTGAGGAATTACTAATGGAGTATTATTACCACTATCATGGTTAATATTTGAAACTGGTGGTTGTGTTGTTATTGGAACAGGTGATAGTTGAGCTAGTGGTTGCGATAATGGTTGTGATAATGGTTGTGATGGTTGTGATGATGGTTGTGATGGAGAAGAGGTTTGATTTACTAATGGTGATGTTGGTATTGGTGACTCCAATGCTGTTGAATGGGCAACGTAAGATTCAGGAAACAACCCCTTTTTGGCCCCAATTTCTCCTTTCCACCAACCAGTTGGTGCTGTTTCCACTACCAATATCTTTTCTCCTTTTTTAAATTGTAATTGTGATTGATGAATTGGTTTATGATCTCTTATTGCTACTACTTCAAAATATTCTGTTATCATTTTTATTTATTTATTTATTTATTTTTTTTAATTTGATATTAACCTGTATAATATTACTGAAACTATTCAAAGATAAAGATTTTAATTAAACAAAAAAAAGAAAAGAAAAAAAAAACTTGTATAAAAAAAAATAAAAAAATAAAAAAAAATAAAAAAAAAAAGATTAAAGATATAAAAATAACAAAAAAAAAGATATAGATATAAAAAGAATATAATTAAATAAAAAAAATAATAAATAATTATATTAAAAAAAAAATAAAAAAATAAAAATAAAAAAAAAAAATTTTAAATTAAAAAATAAATTAAAAAAAATTATTTTTAAAAAATAAAGAAAAAAAACACACACTCACCTTTTTTAGTGTATATAATATACATATTTATACAATACATATTTATATTAATCAAAACCCCATTTTAATCACCACATTCAAAAAAATAAATCAAAACTAATAACTAATGTTTATTATAAAAAAAAAAAACATATTTTTTTCAATATAAATATTTTTTTTTAATTTTTATATAAATAACAATAATAATTAATGAGATTACAGCCCAGCCCCTGCCCCAGTGCCTAATAAACCTTGACAAAACCACCAACATTGCCAACAAAAGTACCACTAATGCACCAGAAACCACTAACCATTTAGAACAAGATCACCATTACCTCGACCGCATTGTTCATTTTGTAAAGATGATGGGTTATATTTCTTTTTTTTTTTTTTAAGTGATGATAATCAAAAAAAAAAGAGAAACAAATAATTAATCTATGTGCCCCAAAATGGTTTCTATCCACATTGCTGCACATAACATTCACCAATTGAACAAAAAAAATTTTAATGGTACCAAATGCAATTTTCATTTAAAATTAATACTATAGTAAATTTTTATTATAATATTTTATTTAAATTCAATTATTGATTGGATTTTATATTTTGATTATCGGATCTCAATTTTCAAATAATTGGTGTGAATGTTATTATAATTTTTTTTTTTCTCAGCCAGATTTTTCGGTTTTTTTTTATATTTTTAAAAATAAAAAAATAAAATAAATAAAAAAATAAAAAAATAAAAAAATAAAATTGTTGTTGTGAAAATTTTTTTTTTTTTTTTTTTTTTTTTTTTCATACTTTTAAAGTGTTAGAAATAAACAAATAATTTTGAAAGTGATACCGTGTTGAAATTGGTCTATTTTTTATATATATACACTAAATTGTATATATATTTTTT